CCACCGCTAGCACCGCCAGACACACCGCCTCCGATGCCACCGCTAACGCCGCCGCCAACGCCTCCCTGAGCACCGCCACCAACACCGCCAGACACGCCGCCGTTGGCTCCACCGCTCACACCACCGGACACGCCTCCATTTGCACCGTGATCCGCACTGCTGGATACGTTGACGTCTACTGAGCCGGATACACCCTCTGGTACTCTTTTCGTGGAACCTGAGATGCCTCCCTTCGCCCCGCCATTTGCACCGCCACCCTCTGAAACTCCATCTTTGGCTGATCCACCCCCAATGCCACCTGAGCTATTCTTGTCGGTATCCTCACCCTTTGTCTGATTGGTATCATCAGTTTTGGTAGGGGCGGGAGTAGAGCCTTCCTCTGGTTGTGTCGAAGGTGTCGTTGGGGCAGGAGTGGTAATTGGGGTGGCAATCGGGGTCGTAGTTGGAGATGGTTTAGTTGGGCATGGGGTCAGGGCCACATCGGTTGGCGTGACCGATGGCGCTTGGGTCAACTTGGGCAACTCCGACGACTTCGTGTAGGGGTCAGCGTTTGAGATGTTTTGCTGGGCCTGTTGACCGATGTTTCCAGCTTCCGCGAGAGATCCCATTGCCGCCGCAATGACTGCAAGGTGAGCAATAATCTTGGTAAGGTTCATCCTGGACAAAGATACTGGAAACGGGACAGAGAAGACTTGGACTTGGACTGCAGGAGAACGCTGAAGGGTGAACTACCTCGACGTTGCTGTTGCTACTTGGAAGCAAGTTTGAAAATGAGCGATGAATGAACGCCTGCAGTAGTTTCCTACGGGGCAATAAGATATCCTCCTTTGTAGTTCGAGTGTTTGTGGGGGTGACCTGCGGGACGGCGTACGGTAGCATCCTCTACCAGAAGCACAACACAGCAGTTAGCCTCTTGTGGGTGTGTGAACACGATCGTCTTGTTCCACAAGATTATTGGCTCCCAGGTGGAGATACGTGAGGAATAGAGTACTCGCTCAATTGGTAAACAATGTCTTGCGACTGCCTGTTGCGACAGTACATGCATACTCAGCTACTTGCAATCTCAAAATCCGGTTACCGCATGGTTGCTAGTCAGTCGAACCGTATAGCGTGGTGCACCTAAATTCTATCAAACAGCATAGCGTTTACCTACCCGCTTAGTACCGGTTTTTTTACGGTTATATTGTCCGATAGTTAAGTCCAGAAAAATCGGTAACTGTTTCAAATCCGGACACTGTGAAAAAGAAATACCCCATTTTTGTGTTTTTGGTCCTCTTTTATGGGTACATTTACTATTAGGACCCAATATTGGACTATTTTGAGTTGGCTCCGAATAACCCAAATAAACCTTGCCGTTGGATGGCATTCAGACGAAAGAAAATTTTAAATTTAATGGGTTTTTATCGTCTGAATGCCATCCTGGCCAATCAGCATGCGTACCGACGTAATTTTGGAACTATGTGTTATAAAAACGATAGCCAATCAGCAATCAGCATGCGTACCAACTTTTGATGCCAACCAAATGTTATAAGACATTAATTTATTGTAAGAGTTTTAAAATTAAAAAATGAAGTTTCTGTCAAAACAACATTTAAAATAACAAAGTCGTGCTTTGCCCGATGAAGCTCTGAAATTTAGCAAACCTACGGAGGATACCTGACGACGCATCTCCTGCGCCTGCTTCGCAGCCGCAGCATCTGCTAGTTGCTTTTATCACCCTTTCCTAGCCACTGACGCAGCGGCAGTCAAGTTGAACGTATCATAGTGAAGAGGCTGTTACATGCACCGATGCGGGAGTAGAGTAGGTTTTATATTTATATTTCTATCAATGAAGCTTATGAGCCGGTCACTTTCTTGCAACCTTGCGTAATATTACTAGTACTCGGTCCGGACGACACAGGTAACATTCAGCTAATTTATCAGTTTCACATTAACATCAAAGATCAGAGGTTTATATTACTTATAGTATTTATGCCTATATTTCTAATCGGCATCGCTTTAGACAGGACTTTAATAGCTGACAGAATAATACCTCGAATCGGATCCCTTCTTAAACTCTGAAACTGAAATAAATTTCAGAGAATTGAGTTGCCAAGTTGAAAAATAGTTGTATGCCTAATATTTTTAGATTTTAACAATATTGACCATTCAATTTTTTCGTCGTTGTTGCTCCCTCGTATGCTGGTAGAGAGAAATATAATTGTTTGAAGAGATGGTCAAAAGTGTCCAGTCTTTTTGGTCATAGATCGGAAACGATACATATTGTCCTTCATTTATCGAGATACGATCCCGTGACACCACTATGTACCTGATAACGATGATCTAGTAGCTGGTATCGTCAGGTTATTCCGAATTCAAAGAGATAAGGACCTCTTCCGACCTGCCAAGGTTGCGGATTTTCATTGTGTATAAGCCGATAGTGTGGATGTATTTTTCGAAACCAGGCCCATAAATTTTAGCATAATGCATGCTATTCTTCATGGTAAGTACTTAGAAAGTATATTTTTGTTGGAGTACTTGAGTAAAATAATACAAGTATCGCAAAACAAAATGCACAAAAACGATATGAAGGAGGAATTGAATTGCACTATAGACTGGGCAGCGGCATATATCGGCCCATATCATTGACGATTCTGCATTGTCATTGATACTGGTCCACAGACTATGCGTGGTTTCGCTGAGATCACTTGATCCTGATCCTCGGCCACTCCGCTATCAAAACAATATCAACATCAGTACTAAAACCGGGTATTATATCATAGTATAAGAAGCAGGTACTCTTGCGATTTAGACCAGATTTCCTACCGTCGTCATTAGTAAATTCTTGCACTCACCTTCATCAAAACCACCACTTCTGCCGGCGCCTTCCTAACGCGTTTTGTAATTTAGCTACTGAGCACGAACATCCCTCCATGAAATTTACGCTTACTCCCTAAACCATTCTATAATGCGACCGCTCAATACACCAGACGAGCAACATACTCGCCACCAATGGCACGCTGTAGTAGCGAAGCCACTAAACTTGATAAACAGACTTATCATTTCCGTAATAATGGTTCAGTCGTCTATCGATTTGCATGTCATAGTGTTCAAAACGGTACTGTCCGTTTGATCTTATCTTCACAAATCAATGATCCTGATACATCGGCTCATCGATACCCTTTGATGTTGATACAGGAATCCACAATTACGACACAGTAATTGATATGAACCCTTGGACAGGGTCGCGCTTTCAGTGTCGATTGGATCCTACAGGATCACCAAGTAAGAGTGAAGTTGGCTTCAAGAGTAATACAGGCTCTGGTGAAGGGACTATTAAAGCGATTGAGTGGATCGTCCCCAAACCGTTGACTTGGATGGCTCAACTCAATGCGAACGATTGAAACCAACGTCTGGCTATCTGAAGCGGGAGAATTCCAGACGATGATGACGACTGGTTGTTCCGATGATTGCTTGCTATTCAAATGTATTAGTCGACCTACATGTACGGAATGCCCTGTCAATTACCTTTATACTGTGTAAGGATTTACAGTCTTGGATTGAACACGAATTCATGTTATGCAACCCGTCTGTCATTTTGCAGTGAACTTTCAATAAACGAAAAGCTGATAGACTGCTGGAGCTATCATCTGAAGGCTTTGAATTGCAAGCATTTTCGTGTCGATAAAACAGCGACCTCAATTCGGTCAGGCAATTGTTTAAGAGTCATCGTTACCTATAGCTTCCTAGTTTTTTCTTCTTCATATTGAAGGGTGATTTTTTTTTCTGATCCACCAGCCTGGGATGCCTGTTTCGACCCCAATCGGTACACAAATACGCAGGAAACCCACAGACTGTGCAAATTTCTAGCTATCATTGCGTCGTTGTAGAGATCACCATGCAAAGATTTCCATATATGCCCCGGACTCGACGAGATGTATACTCGAAGTTTCAATGGCACATCGAAGGTCGTCAAACCAAGAACCAAACCAGTTTCTGTCATGCAAAATGCAGTTTTACTTAAACTACTACATGAGCTAAGAAAACGAGCTTTCAGTTTCTCAAAAGACTGACAATTTCTAGTCCTTAACAGCGTTAGGCTATGGCTGGGTGTTCGTGTACGGGTAGCCGCCGTTATTAGGCCTGCCATTGTAAATCGGCACGTTCGCAGGGGCGGGAGTGGCTGTCGCGTTCTCACTTGAATAGCTGCCTTCAGGATCGTGCGTCGCTGGAGTGGGGTAGGGATATCCACCATTGTTAGGGCGTCCATAGTAAATTGGCTCGCTTGGAGGAGTAGGAGCCTCGGTCTTGTTTTCACCAGGCTTTACTGCTTCCGGTGTGGTGGCGGGGTACGGGTAACCACCGTTGTTTGGCCTTCCGTAGTAGATTGGCGCGTTCGCGGCGGCAGGGGCAGCATTAGAAGCTGCTGCAGTGTGATATATGGAGAGCGCCACGACCATGAGGGGGAAGAACTTGCCCGAGTTCATCTTGGGCGGCCTAATGGAGGCAGAACAACGCTAATTGAGGAGTGGCAATGGCTGAATCACGAACAGCACAACAGAGCCAGCTCATGCTCGAGATTTGAGATGTGGACAGGGTTACACGCGAGCAATCTATCGGGATTACCATGTCTCTAAACATCCACATACCACCAGGACAGTAATGCATCGACAAGGACTCGCTGGTCGAGATCCGCATCCACTCGCTGCTGAAGAAAGAGCGTGCATGCAACTTGAAAACTCAATTATAAAATAAATTGTCAAATTCAGAAGAGAAAAGTCGTACGATCAAATAATTTATTTTCTTTTTTGATCGCGGATACTGCAGGTGAAATGGCCATAACGGTAAGGGTAAAAATGGCGGATATTTATCACTGTTAATCGGATACCACAGCGAGCCCCAACTGATAAATGTATCGAGCGATACATTTATCAGTTGGGACCACAAACAATATGATTGGACAAAATATGCTGCAGCTTTAATTAAAGTATACGTTTCGGTAAAATAATGTTTTAAAAACACAGGACACCTCACTCGTAAGCTGAGCCTGGAACATCAAGTGTTCGCGCACTGTGATACTGCCGTCAAAAGCAAATGATGAGTTGGAACTATTTGAAGTGTTGTTTGGCTCACATACCTTCACTTCGATGGACAATCTTAAGTCCCCAACGTTGAATCAACAACCTGTAAAGGACGATTTTGCGCTACAAAAAGTATTATCCTACTCCCGTAACTCCACTATCGGAAAATATATGCCAGCGTCTGTGGTACAATGCCCCTCAAATGAGCACAGCCTTAAAGGACTGTTTTGCTGATAGTCACGCTTGTCGAATGTGCCAAAACAAACAATGATACGTTGTCACTTCATACCAGTTTGAATCGGTTTGTATGTCGTATTTACGCTATGGGAGATATACATACAGTGTCTTTGTCAACGACAAAGAATGGCAAGAGTGAGTGCTCACAACTGCATCGTCTTCAGGATCGGATAACCATCTAGTGACGAAGGCGAGACTGCGTAGCGGACTGCTGCGTCGTCGACTCGTCGGACTGAGTAGCGGGGGTTGTGATGCCAGTCTTAGTCGCTGGAGTCGTGACCGTAGCGGGGGCGTCGGTAGTTGGAGCCTCGGTAGCTGGGGGTGCCGTCGTAGGAGCCTCGGTAGCCGGAGGTGCCGTCGTAGGAGCCTCTGTAGCTGGGGTCGCAGGTGTAGCGGGGGTAGCCGGAGGAGAACCAGCAGAGCCCTGGGTGGCAGGAGGCTGGTCACCACTGGGTGAGCCTTGGTCTGGCGTAGTCACAGTACCGGTCCACTGATCCGAGTTGTTGTCGCCAGGGCAAGGAGTCTCCGCGGAGTCTCCACCGACGTTTGGCCACTGGCCACCTTGGCCACCTTGGTTCCATGATTGACCCTGTCCATTTTGTCCCTGCCCTTGGTTAGTGTTGTCGCTCGGGCAAGGCGTAGCCGCGGAATCACCGCCTTGCTGTCCGTTACCTGTCCAGGACTGGCCACCTTGTCCCCACGAATTACCTCCTTGACCACCTTGCCCCCACGATTGACCTTGGTTCGTGTTATCGCTGGGGCATGGCGTAGCAGCAGCGTCACCACCATGGTTTCCATTACCAGTCCAGCCCTGGCCACCCTGGCCACCTTGGCCCCACGAGTGGCCACTCTGGTCGCCCTGGCCCCATGTCTGGCCACCTTGGCCCCACGAGTGGCCACTCTGGTCGCCCTGGCCCCATGTCTGGCCACCCTGCTGAGAGCTGTCGCCGGAGCACGGTGTAGCAGCGCCTCCGCCTTGGTTTCCACCCTGACCCCAGGATTGGCCACCCTGACCCCAAGACTGGCCACCCTGTTGAGTGTTGTGGTTGGATTCACCTCCTTGGTTCCAAGAATGTCCTCCCTGTTGAGTGTTGTGGTTGGATTCACCTCCTTGGTTCCAAGAATGGCCTCCCTGTTGAGTGTTGTGGTTGGATTCACCTCCTTGGTTCCTGATCTGCCCACCTTGGCCACCCCAGGACTGACCCTGGTTCGTTGTTCCGGTGGGCGTGTGGCCGCTTTGACCGGCTGCGTCGGTCGAGGTGTGGCCGCTCTGCGTCGCGGTGTCCGTGGAAGTCTGACCGGTTTGCGTCGTAGTGGACTGCTGGGTCGTCGAAGTAGTCGGTGTGGAGACGCCGCCGCCAGCGCCAAGCTGACGTACAGCGTGGCCGGTAGCGGGGACGGAGGCTTCGGCGAAGGAGTTCATCGCCAAAGCCACGATGGCGAGGTGCGCAACCAACTTGGTGAGGTTCATCTTGAAGCGTAGCGAGAAGTAGCAGCGGTGAGTGCTAGAGCTGGGAGAACGATGCTTGTCGGAAGCAAAGTAAATTGAAAAGTGAGAGACTGAGAGAGGATCGAACGCGCGAGTGTAGAGTTTCAGCTCTCGGACAGCACGATAAGGGGGTGCACTCGAGCGATGTGCCGTGCACGGACACCGCTAGACGCCTTATTCAAACAGCAAGATGCAGAGTATCCACAACTCGGTCCAGAGGCACGCGGAGATGGACATCCACCAGACAGATTGGCAGAGCTCCCATCCGGTGATCCTTCAGAAACGAGGACAATATCATAGTCGAGCATAGCGTAATGGCGGGGACGCCTCCACATGGCGTGATAGGTTCTGCATCGAGAGAGCACGGAGACGAGGACACTGTTTCAAGATCACTGAGCCGTCAACGTGGATCGTACGCATTAGCGCCGATGGCGCCTTCCCAAGGACGTGTAGCGCCTTTTCCGAGATAAAAGTGCGATAGTTACCTGGGTGGCGGCGTCCGCCATCGGCCGGAGCCGGAGACGTGTGTCCATCAGCTGTCGCGTTCGCGAGGTGCCTGCTATGGTTGTGATTTTTTTGCGAGCGATTGTCATGGTACTGTAAATGGATACTGTGGGCACTTTCGGTGCGAACTTCAAGGTATTGTCGTTGTTCGCACTTGTTTAACACAACAGCAAAAAAAAAAAAACTAAGATTCAGGAGGATGCTTATCAGTGTTGCACAGACATGGATACGTAGTGCAGATGAAACAACAACGCTAGCATTGACTATGACATTGAGCGTTCGTGGCATCGTCTCATTGCAAAAGATAGCTGCTGCACGTCAATTCAATTGGTATGGCTCACCCATACGAAAGGAACTGGACGTCCGCGCGCGCGTTGACAGCTATTATACAGGTCTAGCTACCAGGTAAAGCTTGGCGCCTTTACCCCACGAGCAGGTTAAGCCTTCAGGTACCAGCTAACCACTAAAGAGTTTTTCCAGCTCTGTATGGCAGCATGTACAGCGTATTAGCAGTAATCTCTGCGACCCTTGCACAGTCCCCCATCAAACACAGCACGTCTTGATCTCCCGTACTTGACATTGGAAAGACCCGCCTCACAGGAGAAAAACACTATCCTCGTGTCGTCTCTTCAAGTTGAAGGTAATACAAATTCATTCAAATAGTAACATGCAATGGCGACAAGAAGCAAAATGCGAATGATGCCGTGAAAGGCGAGTCAAAACTGCCACAACGAGAATGTGATGGTCCTTCTTCCCGTCGAGAAGAACGCTTAGTGGCGAAGTAAGCGGCGTGACTGTGTGGCCGACTGTTGCGTGGTGGAGTCCGCGTACGAGTCGGCGGATGAGGTGCCCGAGGTCGATGTCGTCGTGGCCGACACACCAGTCTTACCTGACTTGGTACCGCTGGTCAATTTCATTGACGGAGCCTCAGTGGCCGCGGAGGTCACGGACGAGACCGAACCGGTGCTCACGCCGTGCTTATAGTCCGGTGTAGTCCACGCTGAGGTCGTACCCGTGGAGCTCTGGTCACCCGAGCAAGGAGTCTGAGCAGATTCATCACCCTTGCCCGAAACGCTGACACCGATCGATGCCGACACCGTCGTGCCCGTGGATCGGCCCCACGTGCCAGTCGAGGTCTGTCCCTGCTGTTGGTTGCCGCCGACTGTCAGCGTAGATTGCCCTTGCTTCTGGTTGTTGCTTGTCTGCTTAGACTGGTCTGCCTGTTGGCCGCTCGTGCCCAATGAGGTTTCTGTCGACTGACCCCAAGTGCCCGTGGAAGCTTCGTTCTGACGGCCATTGCTGGTGTGGATTGATTGACCCCACTCGCCCGTAGAGCTCGCGTCTCCCGAGCACGGTGTCTCTGCCCGTCCAGAAATGCTCGCACCAACCGAGCCGGAAATGGTAGTCTGAGCAGATTGGTCCGTAGACATTTGTCCATGTTGCTGGCTGTTCGTGTTTGTATTCGCTTGCGACTCCCCCTGGGTTCCCGACGAATTCAGACTTTGCGCATTCGTAGAGGACTGCTCGCCGTTGGTCTTGGTGGACTGACTCCATGTGCCGGTGGAGCTCTGGTCGCCCGAACACGGCGTCTCCGCCGACTCACCGCCCTGAACCGTGATGTCCACACCGACAGAACCAGACACAGTCGTTTGGGTGGACTGGCCCTGCTGCTGTTGCTGCTGCTGTTGCTGTTGCTGTTGCTGTTGCTGCTCACCCGTCGAGCTGCTGGTGGAGATCTCGATGGACTGACCCTGCTGCTGCTGCTCTTGCTGCTGCTGCTGGCCGGCCGTGCTCGAGGTTGTCTCGGTGGACTGACCCCACGTGCCGGTGGAGCTCTGGTCGCCCGAACACGGTGTCTCCGCCGACTCATTGGCTTGGTTAGTGTTGGTTTGACCCCACGAGTCGGACTGCTGTCCGGCTGCAGTCACCACTCCAGTCCAAGTGTTGGTGTCCGTGTCGGATTCTCCGCTGGCGCAAGGGGTGTCGGCGGTGTCTCCAGATCCTTGATTCGTAATGTCGGTGCTTGTCTGGCTGTCCTGCGTAGTATTCGTAGTTGCTGTGGATGGAGTCGAGTTCTGCTGGGTTGTCGAGTCACTCGTGGCGCTGGCAGTAGAGTCCGTCGACGGGGACGGCGTCGCCGATGTACTCTGTTGAGTCGTGTACGAGTCATCAGTCGTAGGCGAGGAAGTCGTTGTCGTAGACGAAACACCGCCGCCACCGCCAAGCATCCGCACCACGGCGCCGTGATTTGCGACAGAGGCGTCCGCGATGGAAGTCACAGCTAGCGACGCAAGCGCCAGGAACGCGAGGATCTTGCCGATCTTCATCTTGTAGCAAGATGGCAGTGAAGTGAGCTTGGAAGGAGGTAGCACGCTCACGTGCTGGAGGAAGGAACGATGCTTGTCGAAGAAGCAAAGTAAATTGAGAAGTGACCTTGTTGTAGAGGGGCGAGTTCGAGTGCCCCACGAAGATCAAACGCATGGTGATATGCCATGCACAGCCACCTTTGGTCGTTGTCGGGTCACAGGATGCAGCGTGCATCTAGAGCTTCAACGCCAGCAGGACAACGAACGTAGCGCAGCGATGAGAGATACCCACTGGACAATATCCTGGGTTATCCTAGTCTCACTGCACTGACAGGCATCACCATATGTCAGGCACGACTATTTTCCAGCTCGGTGGTCACACTCATGCACCCGAACGGCGGAGATGAGGCACTGGAGACCTGAGATCAACGTCGAGACGTTGATCACCAGTGTTGTCGGTGGACAAGTGACTGTCAGCTGATGTGGATAGGAGATTGGCTTGTACCGGTATTCAGCTTTCCTGACTCAAGCATGATGGAACTGTGCACTGCACTATCTCCTCTACAGGTACATGTACTTCGGGCGGTGACGGACGACACAACTTTCGTAATCTCGCTGCAGCGTTCGCCCATATTGCACTCCTCGCAGGAGGTCGTTCAATTGGTACATGTAGTGATGCACGCTCAGCCAACACTGCCATTGTCAGTGCCAGGGCCTATACAGCCACGCATGACTTGGCTGTTGAGTCAAGATTTACTATATGCATTTTTTTTCATACTGACGCCAGTGAAGCTGCTCACTTGGCCAGTGGATATTCCTCTCGACAGTCGGCACGCGGCCTTTACAGTCTGATAGGGGTGGGACCTCCAGCTCCAGCTCACCACGACGGTGCCTTCACGTAGCACGCCACAAACGCTTTATAACACAGGAAAGTGGCAGCGCTGAGCTTCACGGTAGCACAGGGTAAATGAAAGACGGAAGCGTCGCCATTGATCGCATTTTGAGTTGGAAAGCACCAGCACCCGTCGTTAGTGAGTCAAGGGTACGATGACACGTGATCTTTCGTACACCGAAATAGTCCCGTCTTGCTCGCTACGTTGTAACGCTACGTGGTCGACAACGTGCTGATGGATACCAGGCCTCGGCTCAGTTTTTAGTTCCTCGACGGCCTCTACCGTACACGCCCCAGAGTGGGCAGTGTAGAGTTCACACAGGGGGCCCACCTCTCCACATGGGATCCTAACAGAACACTAGCGTTCATGTCGACACGAGCACTTTTTGGAAAAATTTATTTGTCGATGATCCTTTAAGGTCCTTTACACTGAAAAGATAGCGTACGCGGCGCAAATTTCAAGATGGACCTTGCTATCTTCATGAGCACAGTGTTCCCATGCGCCAATCTGAATCGATTCCAAACGCCTCTTGCCTCGATAGGCGATTACCAGGATGTAAGCAGGTGGTGTGCTAACAACTGCGAGACTTCATGCACACATCTGCCACCCGCACACTGTGTGACACAGTTGCTATGAAACGGGAGACACCCCACCTCATTCGCGTTGCAATAACCAGTAGACCGGAAATCCGCGTCCTTCACAGTACCTTGGGTTATGCTGACTTCTGAATCAACCGTAGATTTATCCTACAGCTGAAAGTCTCATAGCATATCACTGCAAAGGATGATCACAATGGACTCAATCCGTCTCCCGGCGGGGGTGAACTTCATAGTACTTTGATGCACTCTGGTGGCTTGGAATGGATAAGCCCGGCAGGATGAGGAAGATGAAGGAAGGCTGCTCAAAAGTTGTGTCCTATTCGATCATTCTTGAATTTGCTTCGCCCCCAGCAAGCCAAACATTCACACCCGAGCACCTGAGCTTGTAAATCTCCGCCACTAGCTCCATTCAGCAGCACCTCACACTTCCAGGATGAACCTCAGCAAGATCTTCGCACACCTCGCTTTGCTGTCGCTGGCCTTGGTCGCCACTGACGCCGTGACTACCCACTCAAACACTGTGGTCCGTCAGAGCAACGCTCTCCGCAACCTGAAGGCGGCCGGCACGGGAACTGGTGTCACTACGAGCACCTCATCGGGTGACTCGTACACGACGAGTGACTCGGCTACCCAGCAGAGCACGACGAGCGCGAGCTCTCCGGCAACCGACACGACCTCCACCACGTCAACGGATACGACAACGACATCATCGCCGTCTACTTCGACCACCTCCACCGGCACCACGACGCAAGGGACCGATACCACAAGCGGCACTAACACCTGGGGAACCAGCACTGGAACAGACACTGCTACCAATGGCGGCACGAACACCTGGGGAACCAGCACTGGCACGGGCACAAACTCTGCTGAGGCGCCGTGTGCTAGCGGAGACTCGGACACCACGGGTACCTGGGACGCCACCTCGACCGGCACGACCGACACCTGGGGTACGTCCGGCACGGACACCACTTCGACCGGCACGACGGGCACTTGGGGCACGTCAGGTACGGACACCACCTCAACAGATACGACATCGCAGCAAACAACTGGAACTGCTGGTTGGGGAACAAACACCGGCACGACATCGGCCGAGACTCCTTGCTCTGGTGACCAGAGCTCGACCGGCACTTGGGGAACCTCGACGGATACGACAGGTACCTGGGGAACTTCTGGTACAGATACCACTTCGACCGGCACCGCTCAGCAAACGTCAGACGGTGCAGAGACAACTGGAACGTCGAACTGGGGAACTACCGGTACTTCAGGCTGGGGAACCTCGACGGGGACAGACACGACCGCTACTCAGGGCATTTCGGGCAGTGCCGCGGGAACGAGCACGGCGACCGGCACGACACAGCAGACCAGCGGCACCGACACGACCAGCACTGATACCACTGGAACTTGGGAAGCAACGGGAACCACAGAACAAACCGGCACAGTGACTGCCGCCGGTGGGGATTCCACCGGTACGTGGGGAGCTGCTAGCGACACGCCATGCTCAGGATCTTCGGACACTACCGGCACGTGGGGAACGTCAACCGGTGCCACCGGAGCCTCTACCGATACGACGTCCGGTACTTGGGGGGCTACGACGAACAACGCCGAAGCACCGTGTTCGGGCTCGTCCGACACCGCTCTAGCGACGTCATCGGGAACGTGGATCGAGATCACCAACAGCCCGACGACCGGAAATTCCGCCACGGAAACCAATTCAGGCAAGACTGGTGTGCCGACTGCCACGAGTGCTCCAACGACCGATACGATTTCGTCGGCAACGTCCTCGACCTCAGAGACTGCGACGTCGGCTACCACTGCTCCAGCAACTCCGGCACCCACCACCACGTTGCCGGCCACCACAGCCCCAGTAGCGACGACTGCAGCTCCATCAACTTCTTCGGCCACGTCGGACACTACTTCGTCCACGACTACCAGCACCGGCAAGACTGGCGTGTCGACCACGACGACGGCGTCCTCGGGTACCTCATCGACCAGCTCGGATGAGTCCACCACGCAGCAGTCGGCCACGCAACAGTCGGCGCGCCGCTCGCTTCGCCACTAATCGATCTTCTCAGCGATCAAAACGGCATCGACGCATTCGCTGCCATTCGCTCAGATCGAGCACCTCGCCATTCGATGTAATGCGCAAAGCAGCACAATCTCTGGAAGCGCTAGTCTCCGTTCATTTTCAGTGTCGTAACCTGTGTAAATCCACAATTTCCACTTGGCCTTGTCTTTAAAACTTGGAGCTAATGAATAAATCTACAAAACTCCGTTTAATCCGACGTTTCAGACTTGCCCGTCCAAGGCAATCGATCCAGAAGTTAAAGTTGATGCTTAGTTTTGTTGCTGGCCATTGGGTGTCCAGTTTTCCTGCTGCTCCACCGTTTTGCTTCGTTTCTTCGGCGTTGAAGCTTTCTTCGACACCTTAGCATCGCTCGGGGGAGCAGATCGAGAAACTCCTGGTCAAATCGACAACGAAGCACCGTAAGCTACCGCAATGTGGATTCATCGAAGAAGAGGGTACGTACCTGGTTTGCTAGGTGTCGGCGGGTTTGACGTCTTACCGCGTCGGCGTTGTGAATACTCGAGCGCTGCTGTCATTCGGTGAATGGCCTCTTCGGTGGCAATAACAGCCTCTCGCTACATGGCAAAACCCAGAGATAACAGTAAGATAAACCGAATTATCCAAATCTAGACAATTTAGTACCAGTAACGAACCATTCCATCAACTTGCGACACCATATTCTGGTACTTTGCCTCGAGGTAGTTGCATTTGGCTTGTGTAGAGCGCACTTCTTGCTCCAACATCTCGATTTTCAGCTCTCGATCTTCACGTAGCCTCCGTTCACTATCGACCTCCTTCTTCAGCTGTCATTAAATCCACACACACACACATTCCGTGTCAGTTTTAACCCGAATAAAACCCAGTCATTCACCGTACCGAATCCACTCTGCGAGCCAGCTCCAGGCCGATCTCCAGCGATTTATAGCACACATCTCCAAGTCGAGTCTCTGCGTCCGCCTCCTCTCCATACTCTTCCTGATCTTCTTCTTCTTCTCTCTCCGGCTCAATCTCTTCTCTTTCCTGCGCTTCTTCCTCCTTCAACTTCGTCGCTGACCCAGTCCTCGCCACTCTGGGCGATTTGCTCCTCTTCTGTGGGCTCTGCCAACTGCGTCTCTCCGTTTCGGTCTCTAACTGCCACAACATCCTCTCCAGCACCTCCAGCTCTGTCTGTAGAGTGGCTTTATGCTCTGGATCCATTCTTCCCTCTTGGAAAGACACTGTATTGGCCTTTCCTGCTCTGCGTCGAGGCGTGGGCTCCTCGAGATCCATAGAAACGTCTGCGAACTGCAGCCGTCGCTGCGTATTGAGCTCCCCCGTGTCCTCCACATCCGCTAGTCGAGTGGGTCGTTCTATGGCCTTCTCTGAGTCTTGTGGCGTGCTCCACGCGGAGCTATGGGCGCTTGCGGCCTTGAGTCGCCGCCTAGAAGCAGATGCGGCAGGACTGCGGGCTGAAAAATGCGCCGTGCTCAGCTGCTGCAACGCGCGCTGAAGCTCTTGCTGCTGGTTCAGCTTGTACTGCGAGTCGTCCGTCAGATACGAGTTCCATTCGGGCTTGCGGCGTGCACTACGCGGCCGCGACGGCGTCGGAAGCGCACTCTCATTCCATCCACGCCGCTTCATGGCGTATGATCGGGTTTTATTAATTCATAGAATTTGTGTTGACTCTCATATCAGTTATGAAAGACTAATATATTAATTTATAGAGATCAAAACAAGCATTTCAAATTTGAGAGATCAATTGAAAACAATGGCACAGTACTCGCCGCCAGAGTGGGGGTTGTCGGGGCGCAATGCGTTCGGTATCTACCTGGAGGTGATCAAGGGTGGCGTGGTGGTAGAGACCTTGCAGTTGCCTCGCAGTGATGGACGCAGCTACGTCTTGGCTGGGCGCATGGAGACCGTATGCGACTTGGCACTAGCTCATCCGTCCATCTCCCGAACGCATGCAGCACTGCAGTTTGACGAGCAGGGCGCTCTCTTTCTCTGTGATATACACAGTACACACGGGTGCTTCGTCAACAAGAAGCGCATACTGGCTGATGAGTTTGTGAGGCTGCATATTGGAGATGTACTGGGTTTCGGAGAGTCCACACGGTTGTACGCGGTCTGTGGTCCGCCAGAGTTCTTACCTGCCGAGTACGAGTCGTTAAACCTGGCAAAATTTAGAGAAAAATTGGAGAAAAATCGGGAAGAGAAGAAGCAGGAGGATGGAGGAGCGTCGTGGGGATTTAGAGAAGATGCAGAAGAAGAGGAGGAGAGTGAGGAAGAAGATGATGCAGTCAAGAACAAAGAGGAGCTGCCGGATTACCTACGAAACGTAAGAAGAAGAAGAGAAAAACAAGTATTTATGATACTAATATTTATTATTTTTTTTGTTGTTGTTTTTTTTAGTTCAAGGAGGAGGATCAGCCGTACAAGTCGAGCGTGAGTCACTCGCAGGTGAATGAGAAGGACCAGAAATTGTATCAGCAGCTACAGACTCGGATCCGTAAGATGGAGAATCTCAAACTGGAGAAGTCGAGGATACTGGCCAAGCAGAACCAGTTGGATGGTTTGTCTGAGGGACAGCAACGTACGCTGGAGCGCAATGAGCAGCGAATTGAGGCCTTGCTGAAAGAAATTGACGGTCTGGAAGCCAGGATTCACGCCAAGAACGACCAACGAACGAAGACTGGTAGTGCGTCGAGTTTAGCTATACGGAAGAAACGGAATATTAACGAGGAGCTGTACGGATACAACAGCGACGAAGACGACTTCTACGATCGAACGAAGGCGAATCAGCAGAAGATTGCTGCGCGGAAGCAGAAGGTTACAGGCTCGTCTACCACTCCTGGGAAGACTGCAGCGATGACAACCGAAAGAGCGCCAAAAAGTGAGGTACTTACTGCAGAATCGATCCAAGCTAATGTCAAGAAGCTGGAGGTTGAACTTGAAAAGCTTCAAGACGATCTGAGTGCTGCGACAGCGACAGCTAAAGCTGATGCGAACGACGCCCCACCAGATACCAAAGAAGCAGACTCGTTGGATTCGTTTATGGCAGAAACGACGACTCAACTGCATGTGAGTGAGGTAGACACGCTGACCAAACGGAGAGCAGAGGTGGAGACGGAGCTGAAGCGCCAACGACAACTTCTCGCAGTAGCTACACCTGCGATTGCCGCTCTTCCAATCCAGAAGCCAGCGACCAAGACAGTGAACGAACCTGTTGAGAGCAATTCATCGGCTCCTTCGTCTGTAGAAAACACACCAAGTCAAGATCAAGTTTCTGGTGCTGTTTTTACGAAGATAACTGAGCCTACCGCGCGAGAAGCGACCACGAAACCTGACACCCTACCAATGAGTACGCCAACTTCGGAGAAAATACTCGTTCCTACCAACAGTGCGATGCCGGCGTTTTCCGATGCACCCCGAAATCACTCGGAGAAGGATTCACCGGCACCGAAGCGACGGCGCGTTTCAGGGCCAGCCATGGGGCCACCGCAGCAAATAAAGGCTGCGAATGGAAAGCAGCACGGCGACGACGCATGTGTTTTAGAAGGAGGAGACCAGGCGTGGGTGCCACCAGCAAACCAAAGTGGTGACGGTCGTACGAAGCTAAATGATAAGTACGGCTACTAACTTCCAACACATGAACCAGTGCAACTGAGGCTACTTCATTCTACATGTAGTTTCATGAAAATACTGTACTCGGGGGCACAGCGCAATGTTTTGATCAATAAGTGGAATAATAAAACGAAAATCCAACATATAGCTCCAATATCTCAATGATTGTTGATCTTGTTGACGATTTATTTATACTTTGCAAATTCTTTTTGAAAATATTTTTTAAAATGCAAAATAATAAGTATGAAATGTAACTTGAGCAACTTAAACCTAAGTACCAGTTCAAAATGTAAAACCATTTGCCGCTGGGATGTATTCAAATAAATGTCAGTGGCGCACTCAGTGCAATAGTGTCATGTCGATAGCATGCCACTTTAATCCCATAAAAACAAGTACCAGTAACTATATACTTATCGTATACCTTAACAACCATAAAATGTACAGCTTCTTGACAGGTCGGTCGGGACAAGTCAATTTGCAGGACATTGTCGATTTTAATAACTCAATCACAATACGACCTTATCATTACAACCTTCTAAAAAAAAGCTCTTATTCAAGATGAGTATTGAATATGAGCTCGAAGTGAACAGCAATTAAATCAGTATTGACTTACTGTACAACATTTGTATAGCCGGACAGGGTAGTTTTTTTATACTTACAGAAAAATGCACTACCAAAATAAAAAACCTCATTATAATAATAACAAAACGTGCAGCTGCATTACTTATTCCGCTTCAACATCATCATCACTATATCTCTCGAACATGTCGCCCGAGTCACTAACAGCGTCTTCAACAGTATTGATGCGCTCCAACTCCTCCACTAATTCATTTACTGGCTCCACACTTGTCGGTTCTTGTGTATCATCAGGCTCATTGGGGTTACCACCCGGACGACACTTCAAAAGCCCAGCAAACCCACTTTTAATGACGTGAGCACCCAAGTTCTTCCAAGTTTTCATGATCCACAAAATTACATCTCGTCTACTCGGAGGAATTAGTTTAAACGTAGTCGGATCTTTCTTTTTGTGTTGCACAGTTAGTTGTGATGTTAATTCACGAGATAAAGCAGATATCTCAGGGAGGGGTGGTTTTGGACGACTTCTAAACAGTCCAAAACACTTCCGGAAAATGACCGAAATTCCGTTCAAAATCCAAAACTGACTAAATCACCAGACAACATATTATCAATGAGAGGTTCCGTAGCTCGCGACCGAACCGATACTGTGGCGAGGCAGCGACTTGATCGAGGAACCTGAGTTAACCAAGGCGATCAAGTACTTGGTCGAGCTGCACACAAGATCTAGTCGCTCAAGATCAAGGCTCGCGCTAGCTGCCAGAGCTGGTGCGCGCGCTGGTCCTTCGGCGTATTCGTGCGCGCACAGACTGGCGCATGAGCCTTCGCACATTCCGAATTCCCCACCCGCCCTCGCGCAAGCGTCCCAAGTCGTGGGTCTGCTCATGGAAGGCAGTCCGCTGTACTTGCCGGACACCTTGCAGCACGTGAACACACCGGACATCGACCAATTCCTGCACAAGCACAACGGCGTCAAGGGCATCGAAGGCAACGAGCTCAAATACGGCGACGAGCTCCAGTTCGGTGCCGTCCACACAAGGAAGAGCGCGCGGCTGCCGATACGAGGATGACGAGATCCTGCACCAGCATCTGACCAACGAGAAGCAGTCGAAGGAGCAAGGTCGCGGCTCTGCGTGCTCCAGATCGCTCAAGACATGTGCTTTCGCGCTAGGAGAACACGTACAGAACGACACCGATCAGGAAAGCGCTTTCTGGACATGCTCAGGGTGTTGCTGGAGCTATGGCAAATGTGCCAGCTGCTGCTGCTGCTGCGTGGCGGCGAGCACACACTGGCGTACGACCTGGCGCTTTGACAACACGAAACCTGCCTCAGGGCACTGCTGAAGCGGACACATAATAACATGAGCGGCTCATGAAGCAGCCCAAGCCGGATCCATCCAGTCAATGTTCCCCCGTATTGCGGTGACTTGTTGGTGGTGGCCCGAGTGCCGCGACGTTACTGGCGACGGCTACCAGTTGATGTTTTCACCCAATGCCAACTCGCTCGCCATCACCGTCCGTGCTGCGACGTACTGAAGCTGCTGGTGTCGATGCCTGGACGTGCATGAGAGGACGAGAGTGACAGTACGGAGTGGAAGGCCTCATGTCACTACCAGCGCAATACGGACGAATTCGGCAAGTCGACCACAGGATAATAAAGCTTCTGGAGGTTATGATGGCCAAGAAAGAGATGATGTAGAGCCGTGCGAAGAACTGGTACGAGCTCGCGGTTGTTCCTAGGCAAAAAATACTATGGCCAAGAACATACAAAACTGTTTTGAGTCATATTGTTTAATGGAAGTTCAAGATTCTGTGTCTACACTCTCGGGACACGACTGGTGACGTGCAAGATCTAGTTCATCCTTCTGGAGCGCACCGTAATTGATGTAGACAAGCGCAAGCATCTCGACCTTCTCCACAGACAATCGATTTCTTCGCTTTGAGTGAATGTGGTCGAAGATACTCCAAGCCCTCTCGCTTGCTGCTGAAGAAGTCGGCACCGCAAATACAATGTCTGCTAGCTTCTTCAGAAGAGGATATTTCCTCTCACTTTGCGCACCCCAGTAGTCTCGCGGGCTGGATTCTGAATATTTTGCGCGTAGAGCTTCACCACCGCTCCGTTTCAAGCTTTTGAAGCTGAGAAGCTCGGCAGTTAATGCAGGAATACCTGTACCCGATATCAATCCGCATCGTTCGGCCAGTGTGCGTACTTGGTCGTCAACTAGCTCGTCGTCAGAACCTACGAAATCGTCGATGTTCATCGATGGGTCCAGCAAGAAAGCTACAGCCATTGCGTTTGTGTGCACGTATCTCCACCGTTTCTGAATATTCCAGCGAAAGAGGCCTTGGAGATGAGCAAGACTAACAGCGGTAAGATGTGTGTATGCACCATCGGCTTGGAAGGTCTCACCAATCGGCTCATTGTTGTTCGCAGGTGCATTTGGGGTCACACTTGCAGTTGCGTCACTGAGAATATCAATGCCAGTCAGAGTTTGTAGTTGTGCAGAATCGCACTCCTCCGACTCGCTCTCCGATTCGCTGCCCGCCTCGGATAATTCAGGTTCCGGTTCCGGGGACGTCACACCGTACACGGTGTGATACCGCAGCCACCTAAACCATCGATAGACCCCAGAAACAAAGCCAGTGTCAGCCTCCAGAGCACCCAGGGCCTCAATAATGGGGTCAAATAGTCGGACTATAGTTCTCAAGCTGTTCCAGAAGACATCGTCGCGAACCAACGCTATCACATAGAAAAGTTTTTTTCGGTTTGATGCAGTCCCACGATATCGCTCCAAGAACTGCTCATAATCTGGATCCAAGAAGAGTTTTCCAGTGTCTCTCGGCTATTCAGCACATTGCGAAGACAAGCATGCACCGAATACCACCGCGTTGGGACCGGCAAAACGAGATTTCTGGCCTTGGAGCCCACGTCTCGTACATCTTGCTGCAGCTGCTTGAACTCGTCATAAAGTGCTAGATGATCCCGTACGTAGCGAGTAAGCGCAATGGCTCTTGATAAAACTGCCTTGATGACTGTACACTTGCCGATGTCTTGCATTAGTAAATTCAAAACATGGGCCGAGCATCCACCACTAATCACATTTGGCCGCCTACTCTGCACATGACTCGTCGCACTTCTCATATTCTTTGCATTATCAGTGACAACGCCAACCACTTGAGCTGTTGTCTCGTTCTCCACTTCTTCAATAACTTTGTCAATTTCTCCAGCAAGATAGCGCGCGGTATGCTTTTTTGATCTTGCCGACCATGACGACCAAAAGAGCGAAGGTAACCCCGGCGCGACTACCATAAAATTAATAATGCTTCACCCGTTTGTATCCGTCCATCCATCAGTAACGAGCGACACGTATGTGTGAGTATTAATCATCTGGATGACCTTCAAACGAATCTCATCTCTCACTCGTTTTAGCAGCACCATACTGAGCTTGTGTCTCGAGGGTAGCTTGACAGAGGGAGCAACCAGAGCAATAAAGTCTCGAAATACTTGAGCTTCCACAAGAATGAAAGATAATGCGCAGACAAAAAACACCCGAGCTAGAGCCATATCAAAAGCATCTTGATCAATATCACGTGATCCAGGCCCCACATTTGGATCTGCTCTTGGCGCTGGTGCTGGTACAGGTACCGGTCGTAGCGCATTTTGAACAGCTCTCGGGACACTAGGGCACAGGTTAGGCTTTACCAAGTGGTTCAACAAGTTCCCACTTGGTTTACCATTCTTCTTGAGCATGCCGCAGTAGATGCACCGCCCGTGTTTTTTGCCGTTTTCACGTTCAATGGTGTAATGCTTCCAGATCGTGTCACGCGGTCACCCGGTCTTCAATGGCGAAGGTCGTGGCCGCCTAGAAGATCCTGGAGTACGTGGGTTACGTGGCGTGTGCGGGGTCCTGGGGGATCGTGTTGGAGTTGACGATGCTGGCGTACGAGGAGTCCGAGGTGACCTCGCTGAAGTTGTAGAGCTGGAGGATCGAGCCGGGGTCAATTGACGTGGCGACGCTACGGGTGCTGATTGTGTGGGCGCGTGCTCTGTGGTCTGTGTGTCTTGCTGAGGTGAGAACATCACTTGGCGTGTGACCGGCTGCGACATCAAGACATTCCTTGACGAGCCTCGCTCGGGCGTTTCTCTTTGATAAGGGCTGTAGCGATTAGATCTCCGTGAGGTGGGCGACCGCATCGCCCGTCGTGGTGATGAAGCATCCCACAGTGCATGAGAAGGAGGTATGGGCGATGTGTTCGCTGGAATGTCGGTCGCAGCGTCTTGAGATGTCGCCATGATGAAGCGTCTAGTCAAGGCGTCAATGGGTTCGCGGCAGCTTTCAAAGATACTTGGTGCACTGCGTTTTGGACTTTTGCACACTTCTAAACTGTTTAAAACTTTCTAGTACATTTAAAACGTTCTTTACTCTTCCAATCCAAAACCATCTCTAGTCCGAGTCGTTGACAATTGTTGACGCTGAGGCTTTTTTTACGGACTTCTCGAAGTGTCATTTTCGACACACATTGGTGAGTTATTATCATCAT